AGCAGCAACAGGAACTTGCCCTCAATCCTGACACAGCCTGGGGGATCCCACGGCCATAGGGAATCTCCTGAACACCCTCCATTAAGGGTTTTATTAAGGGGTTTTTTTGTGAGTACATGTGCAATACAATAAGTTGAAGTCTTGGAAAGGACTAACAAAGATGTTTGGAGAGGTGATTCAATATCTTTTCCCACCAGATTAAAATAAAATTGGTAAGTCTCATCCGGTAGTCTTAGGGGCTAACATGAAGGAACTACCTTCTTTTGTGTTTCATGATTGTTTGAAGTGCAACACAATGCAAAATGTTGTAAAAAATAAACACTTCTGCTACTATTTCTTTAGAAATTTTTGTTGCAAATATATTCCTGTTGTAGATAGATACTTCACTGCCCACAATTAATAGTTAATGCTATTAACCATGCTTGGATCCCAAACCTGGTACCTCAGCCATGAGGTTTGTTAATGGCCATTGCTGCCACTGAAGAAACATGAAGTTTCTAAGGTCAGGTGAAGTTTAGTAGTTGGATAGAAACATCTCCTGCCAGCAAAATATTATACGGCAGCAAAGGATGTAGGTCATAAAGGAGTTCTATAAAAATGTTGGTTTAGTGCTTTATCGTGGTTTTAAAAAAATCATATGTTAAGACTTACTACAAAAAGGAATAGGGTAGAAAATAGAGACTATTAACATAGTACTGCATGGCACCATGGTATATCGCATTATCATGTCTTCTTTTGGAGGCTGTGAAAAGAACAAGCAGACGTGATGAGTGGCCTTGATGTAAGGAATGCCTGAATAAACTAGAACTATACCATTCAGAGAGCGATGCCTGAGAGACAGTGTGTGTGGGGGGGGTTATATAATTATGAATGACCCCGTCAAAGGGAATTAAAAAATGTGCGTTTATGACCTTTTCCAATATGCAACAACTGAAAGTAGCAGAACACAGCTGCAAAGCAAAGGGAACGGTCCTTAGTTAAGGGTCACTTTCCTTAGTTGTACAGAATAAAATCTTAAACGGGTTCAAAAGTTTGACCTGATCCAATACAGCCATTCCTATGTTCCTACGGTGAAATACTTTTGGTTCTTGTCATTTAAAAGTCCTGTTTTTCCCCTCCCTCATGCATGATCGAGCTCCGTTATTATATTCCATCTACTTATTTGCATCTAATTTAGATGATGTGATGACATTCTCTACATTGCCTCTGAAACTGTGATGTAATGTTGTGATGTAAAATTAACCCTACCCCCTGAAGAACCCTAGCTGAAGTAATTTAGTAGTAGAAACCCCAAGATCATGATGAGATTTTATTACTTTGCAGTAAAGTTGTTCATGGGGTTCCAGTGTCTCTGCTCCATTAGGATGCATTGGCATGTCAAATATAATTGCATTCAGGTTAGATTCTGCTATATAATAAGTATACAAATATATTAATGACAAGAAGAGAGCCAAGGAGAATCTCCATCCTTTACTGGATGCGGGGGGCAACATTGTCACCAAGGCTGAGGAGAAGGCTGAGGTACTCAATGCCTTCTTTGCCTCAGTCTTTAACAGGCAGAATTTTGTGTCGTCCATCAACAAACAAGTACATTTTTCTCAACCTTCTTTTGTTTTTTCTTCTCTGCGTGTTTCTAAAACTCAAGAATTAATATAGTTTGTAGTACATAAAAAACGGCTCTTAACTACCTCAAATGTTTGCTGAGATTTGGCCCAGGCTTTACCTGTTGAGCAATATGAGAGAGCTGAGCTGCCTGTAGTGTTGTACCTTGTACAGCTGATGTTTGTGAAGGCGTCACTGAACTGTTACTGCTGCTCTTGTGCACCTCTTCCATAATCAACTACAAGAAAAATAACGAGTTAAATTCAGTTAATGATAAATTTGAACAGCAGATAGGTGCCCAACTTCCACGGATATTTTAGAGAATCTCAGTGCATAATGCTTTTAGCCTTATTTGGACATTTTTAATTAGTTCTTTGTCCTTTGATGTCACTTTCTATTATGGAATAGCACAGCATTTTTTGTTACTTCCCCTACGATACCCCGAGCATTGTTACGCCTTCGCACGGGGACAAGAGAGGAAAGACACGGTGGGAGCCTTTCCACCCGCCCCGTGGGTTTGGGCAGGTCGAGCACAGCACCCAGCACGCCGCCTCTCGAGGCCTCGGAGCCCAGAGCGGCACGAACCCCCGTTTCGGAACAGGAGACAAGTCCCATTTCGCCCTGACAACACCTGCAGTCCAACCGTCTGTCAGCACCGGTTCAGACCTACCCCATGCTGAAGTTTACTGTCAAATGTGTTTACTGAATTTCCTGGTTTTTCATGAAAACAAACAAGTCATGAGATCTAGGAAGAAAACCAAGGTGAAGCATTTATACTGAAGAATACCTTGCTCTAAGTAAAATAATTTTCCAAAATATTTTACCCAAGCTACCAGCCAAACCTATTTTAAAACGTCTGAAGGTGTATAAAAACAAAACAGGGACTCAAAATCAAAGCACAGAGATCACAGTTTTGAATTTTAAACCCTGCAAAAGTCACTCCGTCTCCATATAATACAGTCAGTCACACTTCTCTCATTTCTAAGATTTTATATTTAACTGTTCAACATGTCTTGACAGCATCCCCCCTCCAATATTGGGGGATTTAGTGATGTAAAAACGCATGCTTTTAGGTGGGGTGAGTGGGCGGACCAGCCTAGAGCATTAAAAGATGATCGGTGAGTGTTAAACATTTTGTCACAGAAGGTTTGAAACTGTTGAAAGGACAGTTGCTATGAGACTGGAAATTACATTTCTTTCTGTGGAAATGTGAGTCATTGATTTTTCCCTACTGAGATAAACCACAGCTCTTGCAGCCTGACATATACTTAGAGGGTAAAAAGTCAATGTACACCAAGAGCAGAATCTTGTTCTTGCAATCCTTACTCATCTGAGGAGCCCCGCTGCAGAACTCCCCAAATAAGTTACTAAAACAGGACTTTGTGGAGAGAAAACTGATGGTTGGGCGATACGTGAAACCGTATCCTTTGTGGCACAGAACAAACGTTGACGGTTGGACTCGATGATCTTAGAGGTCTCTTCCAACCTCAATGATTCTATGATTCTATATTATTTCAAAAATGGTGCTTTATGTCAAGAGGAACACCAATGAAGTTACGTAACTTTATTCAAGGTATTATGCTACATTAGTGTGCGAGTCTTGCAAAATTTTGCTTGAGGGTTAATCAACAACATGGCGTGAGATCTTTATGTAAGGAAAAATTACTATTCAATTCACTGTTCTTGTCTTAGAATCCATCACATTCACTCTCGTCCTTCACAGATGTCATATATAATATTTCAGAGTTCTGATAGTTCCCCCAAATCCAGAATTTTCTTTTTTGTGTTTTGAAAAAGCAAAATTAGGTGGCATCCCTTTGTAGACTATGAGAATTACTTTTCAAGTGTTTCAATGAGTGTATGTCATAGGGTCTCTATATGCTGTCTCCACTGCTTTCCTAAACATAGGCATCTTGGTAATAATTGAAGTGGTTCAAAACCTGTAGTTTCTTACTAGTTGCTACCAAGAACTAAATGCAGAGTTTCCAGGCTAGGTTTCCACACAGCATAAATATATTTCAAAGTGTAAAATACTGCTGTTTCTTGAAATAGAATGCTAACTCACTTTGCTTTTAAACGAAACAGATTTTATGAAACATCATTTTAGAAACGTGTGAATTCCTCGCGTGTCAGCCAGTATTCAAAACACCACCCTGAAGTGACTTTTGCAATTCTTTTAATGGACGAAATTTTGATGAGAGAGTGCCTCAGTTTGGGTATGAATCAACGGTGTTTGCTAGCAGTCCAATCATGCTGAATTATATTTAAAGTACTATTTTAAATAAGTACTTTGTGGATGTAATTCTAATTGTATGACTCTTATTCCTGTCTTTTTTTAATAAGCATCATTGTTATGAAAATATTCTAATCTGATAAACATAAATTTTCCATTTTAAACTCCCAAAAATATATTGGAAGTATATGAGTTCTAAGCTGTAAAAACTGCTAGTGAATAGGGACTTTTTTTCCCCAAATTAACTCAGTTTTGGGTGTTCTGATTACGAGATCATCTTTTATCTTAATCTAACCAAACAAGGAAGATGACAGAAACAAGGGGAATTTAGGGTCAGTTCCAAAGAGCTCACAGTGATGACATTTTGTGAAACAAATCAAAGGAGTGTATTTTCTTAAACAATATTTGCCGCATTTGGGATTTCAGGATGTGATTCTATCCCAGACAGACGTGTCAAAAGCAGGAGTCATTGCACTGAAGTTATACATGTTCAATGTTTAACTGGTATTAAACTAATTTGAGATGACAGACCATTTCCATGCTTTTTCAGAACAGGCCATGTTATCATCAATGTATTTAGGAAATTAATAAATACTACTTGTATACAATTTGCTCATAAATGGTAAGCAAGGTTGTTTGTAATGCTTTTGCTAATGTATGGTAAATGGAGATATGTGTTTCTCCTTCTAATATTGGATGACAAATAACAAAGCTATGGAAGATACTCATTACATCTCAGCTATGAAAGTGTTCCTCACGTTTTCATGTGTACACGTGTTCAAGAAGGACCCAGTAGGGCTTCTTTAATTTTGTTTTCTTTTTAGTAAGCGTACTTTCTTGTAAAAGCCTGATAACTAAATTATTGCAGTTTGTATCTTCATCCTTATTGTGCTTGGGTGTATTACCTAGCAGATCTTTGGAGCAGTGAGTCTTGGATCAAAATTAACTAGAAAATAGCCTTCAGCATGATAAATATTTGTATTTAGACAGAACCTGGGGAATTCCTTCTAGCGTCTGATAGAGCCCCTAAGGGGAGCTGGCAACTGTATAGCAAATTGAAGTGTGCAAATCTTCAGCCTCACAGCATATACAGTAAATATGTGCAGTGTAACACAGCAAATATGTGAAGGCTTTTAGTTACAGAGGTGTGTAAATGTTTACAAATATGATTAACTGCAGAGCACAAAATCCATTCGCAGCATCAAAGGCAAAACTAAAATTACTTTTTCCTGCCCCCCTCCAGGATTATGCTGAAAAGAAAAACACGATAGCAAAAGCTCTGGAAGATCTTAAAGCCAACTTCTACTGTGAACTCTGTGACAAGCAGTACTATAAACACCAGGAGTTTGACAATCACATTAACTCTTATGATCATGCTCACAAACAGGTAAGAGGAATCTGCTCACTACTTCAACTTAGTTTCAGGTAGATAATGAAATAAGATGTCCTTCAGGCGAGCTTGGAAATCACAGTTGAGTTGTGCCCAAATTTCAGGTTCTGGGAAGCAAAATACACTGTTTTCTTAGAAACAAATCTTAACATGAAGATTTTACAGTCAAAAATTCTGAGATGGAAAGAAAGGGAAATGTGAACAGTTCAACTGTGAAGAGGAACAGGAAATGATGAAAAATATGATTAAAAGTGTAAATGTACAATTTCCTTGTTATCAGTTTAATTTTGCACATAAATAAATACTGTGGTATACCTAAGAGATGACTTACTGGGAAGCATTTGTTGCAACAGATGTGGATAGGAAACTTGACATGCTCTTTGGTAAATTTTCTTTTAGTGCAGGTAAGTTCTGAAATGGGCTATGATTTTACTTAAATGCATTGAATATAAAAAAAAATGTGGTAATGAAAAGTTTCTGGCTCAGCTCACAATAAGCTATGTGTGAGCTTTAAAACATTGGTATTTACATTTTTACCACCACATTTTATCACTGCACCTCCAAGTTGTGTGTCCTACTGTAGTAACAAAAAAGCAGTGCTTCCACATAACAAGAGAGGCAATGCATCCCAGTGCAACGTCTTCGTCTCTGGAGGAGCCAGGACTATGTAATTCAGAGGAAAATACAATGCATCTTGACTCCACCGAAGAGATATGTAACAATAATGTAAAGATGTGTAATAACTGTACAGGAAATTTCTACTTATTCCACTTAGCTGGTAATTATTCTGTATCTTTTTTATTTTACCTGGTGAAATCATATGGTTGTGGATCTGGATTGATTGCTTTTCATTCTAATTGAATCTCCCCTTGTCCTGTAATTCTGCTCAGGGTGAACATAGATGAGTTGCTACACGTGTTTTATATCTGTATTATGTAAGCCAATGATTTGCTTTTCTTTCCTTCAGCACTTCTCCCTGAAACACTTCCCTCTCTCTCTCACTGGTATTTTTATTTAGCCCATAATTTACACTGTCAGCGTGAGTGTTAGATTTAGTTTTGAGAACTACAGAGATGTGGACCTCAGAACCAATAGCAATCTGTGAGAAGCTGGAGGGAAAGATGTATTAGATAAGAAATTAGCAGGTAGCTTCATTGCATCCTATAGATATTTATTATGAGTTGTTAATAGTTAAAATACATCTGGAACTGATTCCTCAGGTGTTATGTTCACACAGCAGCACCTCATTGATGGAAGGCAGGAAAACAGAAGTGATGGGCAGAGTCTTCCCCACTTGAACTCTCTTAGGGTTTTTATTTATTAATTTTTAAGGGCTCTGAAGCACTTTCAAATGAGAACCTGAAGGCTGCCTTGTTCGTTCCTCTATTGAGTATTGATGAAAAATTGATTTTGAAACTGAGGTCAGGTGTAAGACTGAACAGGGACTTGTTTCCAGTGGTTCACATTAGTTATTCTGGTTTTCTGATGGCTTTAGACAGGAGATGGTGGGCACTGCACTAGCATCTGACGGAGCACGGCAGATCCTACCTCTCCATCTTTTGTGTAGGGGGCCTGTGTGTGTCCGTGTTTGCATGTGGCTTTGTGGATGTGTTTGGTGAAACGCAGGAAGCCATCCTCTTCCTCTGTAAGACATCCACAACTCTAATCTCCCTGGTAGGAAATCAGACAAAAGTTTCTAGTTGTCCAGTAGAAAAAATTGTATGGATGCTTGTTTGGGTGAAGTAATAATTTTTTGTAACATTACTGGCAAATAAGACTATCGATTCCTGAGATTAAAGCATTAAGTTAACTCTTCTGGAGTGTGTTTTTGTGGTGGTTTCTACTGGTGTTATAAAGAAAAACCATTCCTCTTCCCATATTTCAGGTGAAAAAGGGGGCAGGAAGCATATGCTGCAGTGCAGGCTCACTCAGATTTGTTCAGTTTTCAAGGAACTTAATACCATGTGCTTTTTTTTGAGTAACCTAATTTAACCAAGTGTGCTAGAGCCATTTGCAGGTGCTACTGTTGAATGCTCTGATTTCTGTCTTGAAACTTCCTACCTCAATGGCAGAAGTTTTCCAGCGGTTCAGTAGGGGTGAGAGGAACAGATAATCTGTCTTTGGATTTTGCTTCATATTTTTCTCTTTCTCCCTTTGATCACACCTTTCTACTAATAATGGACAGGTAGGGGGAAGCACTTACCACAAAAAGCTTCCCATGATCCAAGGATAGTTGTAAGCATATGCAGCCAGTTCAGTTTCAGTGATTCCAGCACCTGACAGTGGTTTCTATATGATCAAATGGATGAGAGCTCTGTCTAAACCTGAGTTCATCCCAGCTGTTCTGAAAAGCTGTATTTAATTCTAATTGAGCATTCTGTTATCACACCATCTAAGCCATGGGATGGTTTATCAGAGAAAATGTTCATAACAGCTCCTGTACCTCAGTTTTATTGTAGAAGATTTTCTTTCCATCGATTCAAAGATTGCTAGCACAGAAAATTTACAGGATTTAAAACAGAAGATTTGATAATTATGTGGGTTTCCTCCATTGGATGGAAGTACACGGCCTTGTACTGTCAGGGGTTGGTTGTGTTTTGATTTATTGTGTCTTACAGCTTCTGAACACCCGCTTTGAGATAGTATGAGGTCCTTCTAACTGGTCCAGAAAGAAAGGATAGGAATAGGGCAAAACTAACTATTTCCTAGGACCTGAAGGAGTTCAGACGAGTGTTGCAAGATCTCCACTGCCTCTGTTAGTGTTTTCTTGTTCTTAGCTTTGACAATATGGTTTGGAGAGCAATATCTGTAGCCTTTATGAAATAGTCCTGGAAAAGCAACTTGCAAGCAGTCAGCGGTAATGGAGAAAAATGAACTCTTTGCTTTGAAAGCCTAGACAAAAAAAAAGAAAAAAAACCCCAAAATACAGTGCAGGTGTCTTTAAAGACAAAAATGTTCTGGGCTCAATACAGAGAGAAATGTAACTAAGGCAGAACTGCTATTATTTAATGTAGTAATGAGAGAATTGCTATTTGATGGTCTAAGATCACGGAATGCAGCTTTTGAGACGCATGCCAAGACTTTCAAAACATGGTGATGCAGCATTTCTTAAGTATTTGGAAGCGCATGAGGAGCTCTCTGAAGTGCTGTATTCATGCAGGGTGAAAAAATCCTGCCTGTGTTCCTCAAAATGCTGTGGTTTTGATAAATGTGGCTGAGCATTAAGTCTAAGGCTCTGAATGACCTTCGTCTTGTAGCCGTTCAGTCAGTGAGTTGTTTTATCTTGTCAGTGAAGAAGGCTGGATCACACAGCTAGGTCCCTTGCATCAGTCATTCCTCAAGAGACTTTTGTCGCTACAAGAACGAAGTGGTTTTATTCCTGTATTTGAAAGTCTTCCTCTCCATCCCAGAACTTCTGATTAATCACCTCATATCACGGCAGCGCACCCGAGCTTGGTGCTGTTTCCTCTCCCAGGAGTGCTCTTCCAAATATCAAACAACAACAAAAAAAGCTGTGATGAAAAATAAAATTAATAGCCCTAATGTATTTGTGGCTAGATATGCAAATACAATCAATTAAGTAAATTGTAAGTAGGAATTTTTCCCCACAGAATCAGAGGTCATTTCTCAAACTGTCTCTCCCTGGATGAAAATGGTCTCCCTGCTCTAAAAATGTATTTAAAATTGTATGGAAGTACTAAAACACAAATTATGCAGGAAGACTAAATTAGTAGGTGTCTTATTTCCCTATTACAAACACAGATTTATGCTGTTTACATTTTTCTCCTCTCTACATGTTTTTCTTCTTTGCAGATTTGTTAGGACATCAGTGCCAAATAGGTTAGGGAGTATCAATCTGTAGCCAATCAGAAGTCCAAACTTTGAACATCTTTATGTGTTTGACTAAATATTTCATGGAATATGGGTGAAGAAGAAGAAATTCGGAAGTGGAAGGGTGTGGTTAGGCATAATGATAATAATAAATCCGTACTTTTACTAAAGGTATACCTCCTATGAAGTATGAAGCATATAAGGTATAAAGTAAGAGCAGTATAGCACATTTGGGGATGCCAGTATTCTCAGCAAAGGTAATTGGAGGTTAGCAGTTGTTTGACTCTGCGATTTAAAAACAAAGCAGCAAATCCTTGTGGTCATCATTACAGCTTTTTTAAAAAAATCTCATTGTAGAGTTATTCCCTCTCAAAAAAGAAAAGATCCTATCTCTTCTACTTGGTTGGTGCCTGCAGAGGATGCACTGCAGTGCATCTGCTGGTCACGAGTAGGTCAGCTCAGGGCACTGCGGTGGATCTGCTCACAGGCCATCTGCAGCTTCTGGCATAGCCAAAGAGTTTATATCTGTTTGAAGGGAAATGTGACACGTGCTTGGAGAATTGCAAAGTGAAAGAAATTAACTATTTACTGGGAGCAAACAGTATCTTATGTTGTTTTTTCAGACCTGCTTTTTGCAAGTTGGGTCCCACTGGAGCTATTTGAATCAGAGGAAGACAGAGGCAACATGTTGTATACCATCTTGGAAATATAGAAATAATAATTCTCAAAAAAAGTGTCATCTTCTAGAGCAGTATGTTAATAAAGAGTTTTATTGTAGTAAGAATAAAACCTTAAGAGCTTCAAAAATATTCTGAAGATTTGCTTTATAAGCAAAACAAACATGATATATAGTGGGTCAGAGTTTTGGGGATGTTCACCAATAAGGGATTTCATAAAATAAGAATATTAAAACTTCTGTTTCTCAAGTTTTAAGTATAGCCCTTCCTGTGGATAAGCTGGAGTTGATTACCTGGTAGGGTGACGGTGAAGGGGATCACAAGGAGCAATGCAGAGCCTGACAGCGCTCGTTTCATGATGGCTTTGCCAGGCTCTGCTTGATGAGACGTGCCTGAGAGGGGAGGCTGGAGGCAGAGCCCAAGGCCGGCTGCTCTCAGCTGGGTCCTGTCCTCTTCCACCGGTCAGCAGCCCTTGCTATAGCTCCATGC